TAGGAGAGGTGCTTCAGCGTGGCCAAAGATGTTCTGTTTTAGCTTAGTTCATTTAAATGCCATTAAAAAGTTCAAGCAGTGTTCTAGCTTTCTGATTACTTTTGAGGAAAGCAATCCTAACAGGCAGATTGACAACTGGAAATTGACATTTTATTTTTGGCCCAGTCATAAGTCATATACCTTCCCTTCCCATCTCAGAGACACTTAACTAATTAATCAATAACAAAATAGAATCAATGATGCTATAAAAAGATTCAAGTTCAATAAGAAGCCAATGTTTTGAGAGACATTTCACTGTTCAGTTTCCATTGGTGTCGTTGACCCCATGGCTGGACTCATTAGACAGGGAAATCTTCAGATCCGAAGGCTCCATATTCCAGATATCCCTGGCATATTCCTTTATTGTACGATCACTGGAGAATTTCCCCGAGGCAGCTATGTTTTTGAGTACCATTGTGTTCCAGGCCTTTTGGTTCTGTAAACAACATATGCATGTACAGCCCAGGGCTTGTGTGGCCTGCAAGCCCTTTGACCAACAATAGGCCAAGTATACTTCATGGAGGAAATAACAGGAACAAACCAGAGTGACTTAGAAATCCACTTGTTCTGCCCTTGACAACCATCTAGGGCAGCATATACCTTCCTCATATTCAGAGTATATTTCTTGTAGGAACAAAAAGTATTTTTCACTTTAAGAGAAACCATCGAGCGTGGTGTGGTTGGTGGTCCACATCTGTAATCCCAGCCTTCAAGAGGCTGAGGCAAGAAGATCTCAGGTTGAAGATCAGCATGTGCAACATAAGAAGAGGGGGGGGAGAGAGAGAGAGAGAGAGAGAGAGAGAGAGAGAGAAGACACACACACACACACACACTATGCTTGTGATTTTTCCTATTGGTAACCCTGCTAGTGTTCCACTGTTTTGGTATGTAAGCCACAATTCCCATACTTTATTCTAAACAGAGAGACCTGGGGCTAGAGAGATGGCTCAGCAGTTAAGGGCATGTGCTATTCTTCCAGACCTGAGTTTGGTTCCCAGCGCCAATGTTGGGCAGCTCACAACTGCCTGTAACTCCAGCTCCAAGGGATCCAACACCCCCTTATGGCCTCCTCAGGTACCCACACATTATGACATTCACTCACACAAACACAGATATATAAATATAAAAATAAAAATAATAAAAATAAATTTTTAAACAATAAGTGGCAAGACCTCTTTTTAAGCTAAGGGGGAGGAAGAGACTAATATTCACTGTCTGCAAGATACCATGTAAAGAGATTTTACCTGGGGCTCACAAAGTTTGAAAACAGTGAGCATTAGCTAATAATACAATGAAAGGCTTTGCTGACCTATTTAGCTTTTTTGGTTCTCTTTGAAGGCCACATGCCCTAGGTGGTTTATATTGAATCCTCAAAACTCCACTGGGGGGTCCAAAACAGGGTGAATTAAGGCTTTATCCTCAATCAAAAATATATCAAAGTCTTACAGCTTTTTATAAAAGAGAATAAAATATATTTAACTTACAGCCTCGTGATTAAAAAAAAAGCTCTGATAGTTTATTAGAAGTTACTCAAAATTGTTAATGCATTATAAGCATTTAAAAGAAGGACTAGACTATTGCCATACTCTAAACTATGCCAAAATAGGTATGGCAGTTGATCAGACTTGGAAACTTCATACATAAGAATAAGATAAACTACTGAAATGGATAATGAATAAACTTCCCAGCTATGCAACTCATGTTTACTAACACTCAACAATGCAGTTATTGTTAAGAGTAGTGAACTGCAATTTGCACTAATGAACAAGCAGGATTGAATCAAATGTTGGGCTCCAGACGGACATTCTTGGGAGTTGGGCCATCGTTTTAACGGTTGCCCCACTGGGTCAAACTAACTTTCCCATTCATCCTTGCTCTTTATGTTTTCCTCTCTTGTTCTGAGTTGACTTATAGTTCCTTTTAAAATACATGTTATTTATTATTTTATTTTATGTGTGTGAGTATATTGCCTGCATGTATATAAATGCACCTGTGTCATGCAATGCCCACAGAGGTCAGAAGGGGGCATTGGATCCCTTGAAACTGGAGTTATGGATGGTTATTAGCTGCCATGTGGGTGCTGGGAACTAAACCTGGGCCCTCTGTAAGAGCAGCCAGTGCTCTTAACCACTGAGCCATCTCTTGTGCCTGATTTGTATTTTTGAGGTGGCTCTCTGAGTTCTTGGGGCTGAATGGGTTGCTCTCCTCCATTTTCAGGAAGCAGTGAGTCACTTAGCTCTAGCATGGTCCCACTGCTCATGGTCGTGAACTTGAACTCACTCTGGACTACTCTGTTAGGAGATTCATCTGACTCAAACTAGTAGAGGAAGGCTGGAAAGCAGCATGAGCTTTGAACAATCCCATTCTAAAACCCCAGGGGCCCATCTCATGTGCCTACAGGAGCTAACCTGTCCTGTCTTCCTGCCTTCTGAAAGCAATAGAAAGGAATGTTCCTGAAGCCTCCTGGAGTCTTGGCTCAGAGTTAGTGCCTCAGTATCTAGTCCAATGGGTACCTATGATCTACTAAAAGTGTCTCCCTTAGGGAAGATTGAGCTTTCCATGCTTTTACGAAACATATCTACAGGGTCATTTGACAGTGTATGAGAAGGTTCAATCACATGGCTCTAGGGCCTTTTCATTTGTTTGTTAATCAAATATTTTTTCACTGTTGATGGGAGTATAAACTGGTACAGCCATTTTGGAAATCAGTGTGGAGGTTCCTCAAAAAGATCTAACATATGATCCAACTATCCAACCATACTACTCTTGGGTATATACCCAAAAGATTCTGTATTCTACTACAGAGATACTTGCTCAGCCATTCATTGTTGCTCTATTTACAATAGCCAGGAAATGGAAACAGTCTAGATTTCCATTAATGGATGTATAGATAATGAAAATGAGGTACATTTATTCAGTGGAATATTATTCAGCTGTTAAGAAAAATGAAATTGTGTAAATTTGTAGGGAAATGGATAGAGTTAGAAATAATCATTCAGAGTAAGGGAACCCAAACCCAGAAAGGCAAACATCACATGTTTTCTTTCATATATGGATGTTGGCTTTTAAATTTTAGATATGTGTGTTTAAATAGGAATACCTACAGAGGCCAGCAAACTTTTAAGGGACCATGGGGATGGTCTCAAGGGAGGGGAGAAAGAACAAAGGAGGTATAAAGAGGGAATGGGGAATGGGACAAGAAGGATTAAGTGGGATAGGGGCTGGGAGGGTAGAGGAGGAAGGGCTATCTAACACTTAAGACCTTTGGAAAAATCATATGGAAACTTACTGCTGTAGAAGTTTCTCTTCTTTCTATACATTTATATTAGACTGATACAGTCCCATATCAGGCATAGTCTGGGAGAGGTGCTTATTTTGCAATTTTCAAAGAATAGCAGGTCAGTCCTTATTTGATAAACTAGAACTTAGCCTTAGAATCATCTTGGCAGGTTTTTTCAAATATTGATGGAGGATTCCACTCACCACTGGGTCAGAATCTCTATGGGTGGAGGGAACAGTGACATCTGTATTTTGCAACAGCAGCCTTAGTGACTGTGATGTGTACTTGTAGTGAAGAAACCTGAGGGAAGAGGGGCAGGACCCAGAACAGAGAGAGTCTCCTCCTCTCTAAGACTTCTGTCCTGAGCTTCTGGGATGGGCCAGCTACATGATGAGTGGTCAAGAAATATGAGTCATTTGTGATTAAAAAGAAAAAAGCCTTTTGTATTAAAAAACTTTAAAGCTGCTACTGAAATCTCAAATCACAATGTCTGTTTAAAGTAAAGGAAGATTTTGATCTGAACATCTGGAAAGTTCTCTCTCTCTCTCTCTCTCTCTCTCTCTCTCTTTCTCTCTCTCCCCCCCCCTCTCTTGTGGTGGCACTGGCATGGGTCAAATCCAGGACCTTGCACATGCTACGTAAGTATTCAACCACTGAGTTCCACCCCCTTATTTTGATTGGCAGTGGGGTCCTGCTGTTTAGATTTGATTTAAAAAAAAAGCTAACCATGGTAAACTTTTGTAGAACCTGTAACACATTGACCATATACACATAGTATACTTTTATAAAACCTGTGATGCACTTATCATATACCCATAGTAAACTTTCATAAAACCTATGATGTACTTACCATATATAGCTGACTAACTTTTTCTTGACATTTGACATAAGCTTCATAGTCTGCAAAGACTTTAAACCTGTTTTTGTTTTTGTGTGTGTGTGGTTGGAAGGGAAAAAAAACAAAACAGTCATTAACAGATACACGTTGAGATTCCATTTTCAGTTTTCTTTTGCCTGTTGTCAAGCATTATTGGTTTATCAAACTTATATTTCTGTTCACAGGAATACTCACCTTTAAAAAAATTTTTATTTTTATTTTATGTGAACCAGTGTTTTGCCTGAATGTAAGCACGCCCATGCATGTAATGCCCATGGAGGCCATAAGAGGGAGGTGTATCCCCTGGAACTGGTTGTTAAGCCACCATGTGCCACCCTGTGGTTGCTGGGAACCAAACCCTGGATTTCTGCAAGTGCAACCAGTGCTCTTAACCACTGAGCCATTTCTCAGCCCCAAGAATATTCACCTTTTTGTAGTTCCCACCTGTAAAAATGTCATCATCTGGATGCATGTGAGAGTTGACTGTGTCAATAGAAGCAAAAGGACACCGGATTTGAGAGTTGTGTTGTTCAACCTTATTGGAATTGATTGCGGAAACTTTCCCCCATAAGCTCAGATTAGCTCAGCAGATCACAGATTTGTGCTAACTTACATGAGTGGGCCACAGTTGGTTTGAGATGTTTTTGTCCCGTTTTATACCCCAAATCATACCATCTGTAGGAACCCACCTGTCATGAAAAAATAGCATGTTGATGATGTCTTTGAAGAGGTCAGGCTCATTGGGAGAAAAGAAGCCATTGTCAATTTGGTCAATGACCAGCTTCAGTTCTGGAAGGGCCTCATAATATTCCTTTGCCTCATACCTGTAGTGAAGGTTGTGTGGGTGATGAGAGAGAAGCTCTGTTAGTGTGCATGATGAACAACATACCAGATACTGCATTAGCTGTAAAAGTGCATTCAGAGATACCAGTATTTATGGAAGTCACCGTGAATTTCAAAATAGGTACAAATATTTCTTACTAGATCCTAAAGAGTTGAGTTTTCCTCCCTCTCTAAGTTGATTCATTCCTTATAACCAACAGCATTAAGAATAGAAACTAATGAAAATTCTAGTCTCGGAGCAATAGCCTAATCTGGTGGAGTATGGTAAGACTAATTTCAAAGCAGACTTTACAGCTCTAAACAGCATGGTGTTAAGAGGACTAGCTGTTTTGAATTCACAGATTCATGAAATCTTTTGCTACTGAGTGAAACTTCTAAAGCTTAGAAAGTATATTCAACAGCCTCCAAGTTTTGTGCTCCCTGGGAACTCCTTTGGGCTCTCTTGACTCAGGTTAATAAGTCTAGCTAAATAGGAACTGAGAACAGATGTTGTGAGGGCTTCTGTGTCTTTGTCTATTTTCTGCCATGTTTTAGTCCATCACTTGGAGGTCTTAAAGGAACATGAGTTGGTGGTTTAAATTATAGGCTATATATATATGAATAGATATTGCTTCATCTTTGATCAAAGCAAAAATCACAGACACAAAACTGGGCAGCTCACTGAGCTGCAGGGGCTGGTAAGGTGGTAACTCCTCTGGAATCCTCATTTAGCAAACATTAGCTTTGCTTTACTTGCTGGGTTTCCTAAGACTAGCTGTGGCTCCTTATGGGAGATGTTCTGTCGTCACATCTCATGAGACTTGGGATGCCTACATGAATGAGAAATCCTTGGAGATCCATTCCCTCCCAGGGGTACCCTGCTCAACAAGGAGGAGTGGATCTCTCACCCTTTCTTGTCCAAAGCAGCCACATCATTCACCCTCATGCCAAAGATGAACAGGTTCTCCTCCCCAGCTTCCTCTGCCATTTCCACGTTGGCCCCATCCATTGTTCCAATGGTCAGGGCCCCGTTCAGCATGAACTTCATGTTGCCTGTCCCTGAGGCTTCGGTACCTGCGGTGGAAATCTGCTCCGACAGATCTGTGGCTGGAATGACTGTAAGAAAGGCAAGTCAATAAGCTGAGTCTGTCCCTCTGGATCTTCTCTTGTTTCTGAACATTTACCTAGCCGGTCTGCTGTTGATGATGAAAATGTGCACATCCAGGTAAGCATTCAAATGGTGCATTAACAGAAAGACAGAGCTCACCCTTTCTCCTTGACTCAGGCAACTGCTTTGCCCCTTTGTGATGCTATAGAACTGTGCTTATACTATATACAGCGTGGTTTATGACTTTTTAAAGACTGTTGACCCTAAGCTATAAGTATGGATGCTACCTTTCTCCCCTTTTCATGTCTTCAATTTTTGTTATAGTTTCATTTTATTTTATTTTATTTTGTCTTTTTGAGATGGGTCTTCCTGTAGCCCCAGCTGGCCTGGACTTTGCCATGTAGATTAAACAGGCCTCAATCTTACAGAGCTCCGCTTGCCTCTGCCTCTGCCTCCCGAATGCTGAGATTAACCTGGCTTCATGGGTTTATTTTTCTTCTGCTTTATAAAATATATTGCAACCTCTTTTTCTTGGGCCCTAAAATCTCAGGTCTCTCCTTACTTCTCTGAAGAGATTGAGTTGCTACTCTCTACTTCTTCCCTCTCTCACTTTGCTGCAGGAAAATAAACCACAAACAATTGAGGTGGGCCTGGGGCCAGACATCAAGCTCTGACCTCTCAGCCTGACCTGCACTCAGATTAGCTCTCTAAACCTCCAGCCCCCTTCACCACAAAGATCAAATATGAGTCTCTGCCTCATCCTAAGAGCTTATTTGTGGATGAAATTGGTGTTTATTTGCCTCCCTAGGAGTCTGGCTCCTTACTTTTTATGCAGAGACCTTTCAGCGATCACCTCAAGGGACCCGAAAACACCACAAAGAGAGAAAGTTCACTTTCGAGCTCTTTTCAGTCTGGGAAGTAGGTGAGTACACAGTTGGCACTGGCTGGCAGGTGGTTCTGTGCCAGCCTGTGATGCAAATAAGCAAAGGTCTCAGCAGTAAAGAAAGGGACATTGGCTTCCTGCCTGCCTGTCCCCACAGGGGAACTCTGTTTGATTCCTGAGTGCACACCTAAGCCTCGTGCTTTGGCAGCATGTCTGCCCTCCTTCCCTGTCACAACATGAACAAATGGCAGCTCTTCCTCCCATACGGTGACCAGAGGGCTATCGTTTGAGGATTGAGAGCTGGTGTTTTCTCACAAAACCTGTGCTGGGAATAGAAAACCTTTCCTCTTTTTTTAGAGCACTGTGTGCACCATGCCCAGCCTGCCAACACTTCTACCAGCACTGGCCCTCTCCAGGTGAGAGGAACAGGCACTTGCAAATGTGTGATGCCAATCTCGTGGGTCAATCAGTTCACCTTAGAAACTGCTTTATTTTGTCTTCTACCCAGTTACTAGCCCCCTGAGGCCAACTTCCCAACTCTCCTCCTACCCAATTCCATAATACACCCTTTCTCTCCCCCACAGCTCGCAACAAGAGCAGTACCTTTTTCAGCAAGAGATACTCTGTAGTTCTCCAAGAAGATAACTTTCAACTTGCTGCCCACCATGGGGTCGTTGTTCACCACATGTGCCACAGACGTGATCAGCTTTATGATCATTTTAGCCATGTGATATCCTGGGGCAGCCTTGAGAAAGAACGGCAAATGTGTGGACAGAAGGCCCAATGGATGAAGTAGGGAAGTGACAAAAGGTCCGAGCCCCCAAGTCCCCATGAGATACGGTTAACTTACTTTGCCACCAATTATAACTGTCCTTGGCACAAATAACTTCTTAGGATCTTTCTTGATGCCTGAAAAGGATAGAGAGTTGGATGGAATGGAGGACAATTGCCAGGACATCCTGCTGCTTCCACTCTGAGGGGGCTCATGGTGGTGTCAGGTGACTCACGGTTATACATGGTGACCACGTGTAGGCAGTTCAGGAGCTGCCGCTTATACTCGTGAATCCGCTTCACATGGACGTCAAACATGGAGGATGGATTGATCTTCACGCTGTACTCCTTCTCCAGGAACTGGGAGAACTTCAGCTTATTCTCCTGTGGAGAGTGCACAGGTCATCGCCCTCATGACTTGGAAGCCTTGGGCATCTGCTTTAAAAAGCTGAGCCCAGACCCTCAGCGCCGGGGTTAGGGAGGGGACCCTTGCCTGGTGGCCTCACCTGCTTTACTTTGGCTATTTCCCGAAGGAAGATATCGTCACCCACAAAGCTGTGGAGCTTCGTCAGCTGGCTCAGGTCTTTCACGTAGTCTTCCCCAATTTTCTTTCAATTTAAAGAAAAAGGTGAGTTTAATTCAGGGACGGTAATCAGGCCCATTGGAGTAGTTTTTGTCAGTGTAAGGTAAGGGGCTCTCAGCCTACAACAGAATAATTTGTAGCACACAGTTCACACAGTGGTTTGCTTCACTTACAAAAGAGGCGAGGTATTCTACGTGGGAAGAACTTTGTGTTTTCTTTTGAGACAGGGTCTTACTCTGTAGCTCAGACTGGCCTAGAACTCATGATCCTACTGCCTCAGTCTCCTGAGTGCTGAAATTATAGGTATGTCTTCCCAGGCCTGGCTGGGAAGAACAATATCTTAAATATAGTTTCAGTGGCATTAAAATTTAATTAAAGATACAGAAAAAGCTACATAAAAGGACAACCAAGAGCCCAGGTGTGTAGCCTATTTTTTCTGAACTTTGTACCCTCCTTTACTAACAGGGACATCATATTCCGTCTGTGTGTCACATAAATACCATGACCAGCTGTGTAATTTGCCTAGCCCTTGTTTGAAACTTAATAATTTCAAGTTGAGGGACTGAAGGCACAGCTCAACGGTTAAGAGCACATACTGCTCTTACAGAGGACCTAAATTCAGTTCCCAGCACCCACACTGGGCAACTTACAACCTCCTATAACTCCAACTATGGGGATTTGACACCCTATTCTGGCCTCCACAGGCACATGTATATGTACCACCCCCATACACATAATTCAAAATAAAAAATAAAATCATTAAAAAGAAAAACAATTTCAAGATGACCCTGGTGACAGCATGAGCCACCATGCTTACTGAAGCCAGCCCTGCCACAGGCTGGATTGGCAATCTGCCATTTGCCTCTTATATGGCCCCTCCCCCGAGATCCCCATTCCTCTCAGCACCTCCCTTACCTCTGCTATGAGGTCCGCCAGCCCCGGGTTGCAGAGTAAGAGCCAGCGCCTCGGAGTGATCCCATTGGTTTTATTCTGGAACTTGTCTGGTTCCAGTTCACTGAAGTCCTTGAACCTGGAGAAAGAAGAGAAAAATCACTGAAACTGGCTGAAACAGCAGACTCCTACTTGCGGAGTGCAGTTCAAAGAGCCAAGTGTAGGCTCAGAATGATTAAATAAAGGTGAAGGGAGGGCCTGGCAGCAGCTCTGGCTGTCATTTTAAATAGAAGAAATTCATTTGCAATTCAAAACAACTGCCCCAAATCTAGTCACCGCCATCTGACTTCCTGGCACTGACATATACACACTAGGCTTTTCGGCAGAATAAGGTTTTTTGGTTTTTAAATGAGAATTAGCATAGTTAGAGAGGAAGACTTTTTTTTTCCTTTTCTCTTCTTTTTTGGTATTTTTGAAACAGGGTCTTCCTGTAGCCCTAGCAGGCCTGGAACTCAGTAAGTAGAGCAGACTGGCCTTGAACTCACAGAGCTCTGCCTGCCTCTGCCTCTTGAGTGCTGGGATTAAAGGTGTGCGCCACCACACCTGGCATTCTCTTCTTTTTTTAAGAGAAGTGTTCTCTGTATACAAGAAAATATGCGAAAGCGTTCTGCAGGCTTTTCCTCATCTGCAAATGCAACCTGTGTTAATTAGAATCCTTGCATTCATGGATCTGGGTTGGACCTGCTGCTCCAGTATCAGGGCTCACACTTGGCTCCTCACGATGTCAGAGTGAATCTTCGCCACGCCATTCACAGCGTGGCAACCCACGATGCAGAGATGGGCCATGTTGATCCTTTTGCCTCCTTCCTCTTCTATCAGGGACATTCTTCGCATGCGATCTATGTCTTTAGGAAACAGGGCCACGATTCTCTATCCAAAGGAAGACAAAGACCTTGTTGGCCACTTGGGTTTAAAGCAACCCTGGGTGTTACTCAAGTCCCAAGCAAACTGTTCGATGGACTGATTAAAAACCTCACGGAGAGGGGCAGAGTAGACTGGGGAGATGCCATTCCCTCCATGTTCACATTTTCAAGAAAGTGGGTTTTATTGAGTCCCACTCAGACGTCAGCACTTTTATCAATGACTGAAAGCTGCTAGGGTCTTGCTTTAGGAGGGCAGAAAACTGTAGCCACCTTGACACGTTAAGGCCTCATTCTCTCAAAAGGTAAGACTCTCTCAAAATGACTTACATCTAAATGCTTCTGATTTATCTCATAAATGATTTCCAAATGTCGAGGCAGCAACTTCTCCACCAGCTCCACTGGCCAGCGCTCCAGGGCCTCTGGGAGCACTGTGTGGTTGGTATAGGCGAAGGTCTTCCTGGTAATGTTCCATGCCTGCAGGAAGGAGAGGGTGGGCTGTTGCCCCCTCAGTACACACCCTCACAGGGCCAAGCACTCCTCAGTCCCACTCGTGTGCCACAAAACATGTCTGAGTGTGTACAGTCAGACACACTCGAGTCTACTAGCCCTCAACAGTCCAGGTAATGGGAGCATGGTTTACTTTTTGGGAAAAAGAAAGCTATTTGTAAAACTGATAAAACATTAGACAGCACCTGATAAACCTTTGCCATGATCCTTACACATCTTTTATTTATTAAATCATAAATATGCAATGTTGAGGAGTAAAAACTTAGGTAACATTCAGCAGACACAAAATCTATTTCAAATGCTCATGCCCAGGCTCAAGAAACAGCTCCATCAGTAAAGTGTTTGCTGTGCCAGTGTGAGGACCAGAGTTTGATCCCCAGAACTCATATTTTTTAAAAAAGTTAGGCATGGTGGTACACATTTGTAATCCCAGTGTTGTGGAGAGGCCTGGGGTCACTGACCAGCCAGCCTTGCCAACTTGGTGAGTTCTAGGCCAATGGCAGCCTTTGTCACAAAAAACAAGGTGGATGGTTTCTGAGGAACAGCACCTGAGGTTGTCCTCTGGCCTCTACATGCGCATACATGTACATGTGTACACACGTACACACACACACACACACACACACACACACACACAGAAATGCTAACTCCCAAAGCTACAGGGTAGGGTGGGATAGGTGAGGACTTCCAATTAGCTGTCTTCTGAGGGTAGAGAACTTAATTTCAAATTCTTTCATAAAGAAACATGCTAAACACAACACAATCCCCAATGTAGTTATTGGCCCATAGCCTACTAGGTCTGCATTTATTTAATTTTTAGTTTCATTCCTCATGAAAAGCTAAGGATGACATCAGGACAAAATATACCTTTAACTATTAGAATCTAGCAACAGAAACTTATTTTGAAATACTGAAACAAAAGGGCAGTTTTTCAACCCCAGATAGTCTGGATAATCTAAAGATAAAGCAGCCAAGCTATCCAAACCTTGGACCATGACAATTTTTCAATATCCACAAAAATCCGCATCAGCTCAGGGATGGCAAGTGCAGGGTGGGTGTCATTCAGCTGGATGGCCACCTGTGTGGAGAAAAGACACTGACATAAGGGTGACTGGTGGCCCGTGGTCTGGATTCCTGTCTTCACAGGAGTCTGGAGAAAGTACGGAACAAAATGCCCATCTCCTGCAAAATGTTCAAAGCGTTAACGCCTGTGTCCGCTGTCTAAACACTCACCTGATCTGGAAAGGCGTCGAACGCGGTTTCCACACCATTCTTGGAACTGAACTTGGAGGCTTTGAAACGTCGGATGACATCCTGCAAGGTCGCAGCCACCACGAAGTACTCCTGTTTCAGTCTTAGCTCCTTTCCTTCAAAAAACTGAAAGTCAGGGAAACTGAGTGTGGGTCACAGTGGCCAAAAAGTTGTCAGGGTCCCCTGATCAGGGAACTTTAAAGCACTGACATCTGGAGCGAGGTGGCAGGGTGAGTATCCAAGTATCAGCTTTTGCTTCCCTGAAACCCCATTCAGATGACAACCCAGGGAACTTAGGAGGGTATCCAGATAAGGGAAGAAGAGTTGGGAGAGATACCAGCAACACTTTTTAAAAAATAATGATTTGACATAGTTTTTTAAAGATTTATTTTCATTTTTTAATTATACTTTTCAGTTTGTATTTCAGAGCTTTCTCCTGGGGTGGGAGGAGGCAGGAAGTGGCAACACCAAATATTTTTGGAAGTAGGGGTGCAGATGGGGTAAAAGGTCAGTCAAGAGCTGTCTAAGGAACAGCTGACCTTGGACCTCATCTCTGATTCCTGCAATTGAGCAGTTTCCTTTCCCATCTCAGACTGAAGCTGGATTTATAGTCTCTGGAGATTAAGTCTCCAGCGAAGGGCTACAGGCACAGATAAGGCAGGAAGCCAACAATCTTAATGAAAATATGGAGAGTGGGCGTTAAGTAAAGGTTTATGTATTGAGATGCTGAGTTTCTCCCACCCAAACTTCAGAACACAGAGAGCCCATGCTGATTCCATCAGAATTAACTGATTACTCATTTTAACTAAGCTGATCAGAAGCACGTTGTACTTCTCAGCAACAATGAAAACTTGAAGGCAATAAAAATAAGATTAGTGTTCCATATCTAGGCAAACTGCCAGTGTGGTCAGGAAACAGATGCTTTCTGATGGTCAAGGTTTTGAGAAAATTCACCTCACACATACGCTTTCCCAGGAGGCCTGGCAGCAGAATACCACCAGAAATGGCCAGCAAACCCAGAAGATGGAAACCAGGAAGGGATGGCCTCAGATGGGAGGTGAGCACTGGGCCTCACGATGATGGCGGCGGACATGAACCTGCACTTAAAGTGAACAAAGCTGGAGAACTGAGTGAAGGTGGTGGTGTTCATCCTGACAGAACTGGGGCATGTGGTCTGTGACAGGAGCCGTGGATGTCGGAATGTGAGACTTGTGCTCATTTTTAACAATGGGGAATCAAACTATTGTAGGCAGGGGAAAATCTTAAAAATCACATCTGTATCATTCAGAAACATGGAGGCGAGCACCACAAAAATCAGTCAAAAGCAAAGGGAGGTATTTGCTTCCAGAGGATGGGAGACAGGCAACCATGTTCTTATTGCATGCCTCATGGGACTGTTTGTCTTTCCATACTGTGGATATGTACGCCTTCAGTGAAAACTAAAAGAACATTACAGTTTAGTCATTAGAAGAAAATTGAATTGACATGGCCAAAGAGGTTTTCTAGGTGGTAGAATTATGAACTTCAAAAAATGTCCTCTTGATAATCTTTTATATTGCTTGCATTTTTTCCTAATGGCACATCAGTATAAAAATTACAATGAAGTTATTATTCTAGAAATAATAAAACTATGAATCTGTCTCTAATGAAGTTAAGCATCTATTGATCTAGAAAGTTTTTAAAGTCCTATAAGTGAAATTCTCAATTAAACACAATCTCTGTAGTGGGGAGATGGAAACAAGGTTTTAAATACAATGCTAACAATTTCTTTTTAAAGGTTAAGGTATTGCTGGGCGCAGTGGCACACGCCTGTAGTCCCAGCACTTGGAAGGTAGAGGCAGGCAGATCTCTGTGAGTTCAAGGCCTGCCTGGTCTACATAGTGAGTTCCAGGCCAGCTGGGGCTGCAAGGAGACCCTGTCTCAAAAAGACCAAAAAAAAAAAAAAAATTAAGGTATATACACAATACTCTGGAAATCTGGATAATTCAGTAATGTTTGATTTAACCCTGAAAGACAAGTTGGAACTTGTAAGATGAATACAGAGGTCAGAATGATCCTTGCAGGTGCTCCAGGGGGTAAGAAAGAACACAGTGAACAGTCCAGCAGCTCTGGACTGTCATTGCTGGACAAGATCATGGGAGACGAACCAGAGCATGATGACTGACCAGGGAGGAAGTCAGTAGCATACCTCAGACCTCTGCCTGCCTTATACAGGGTCACAAGCCTCTTAGGGTTAAAAGCAGGGAACAAGTATCTCATGAGTGGCAGGATGGGAAGAGCAGGAGGATTCTTGGAGGAAAGACAGAAGTCTGGACAGAGGCTATGACCTTATTGAGGAGGAGAAATGAATTTGATTTTATAATCACAGCACAAAAGTGAAATGTGAACTTAGTCTTAAAAAAAAGCAAAACCAAAACATTATCTTGAGAGCTACTTTAATCCAAAAGTCTTATCAATTTTTTTTTACCCCAAGTTAATTTAATATGCTATGGTCATTGCTACAGATGAATTATTTCCAGGTCAAGTCAGGTTTGGTTCTTACTAAAGATAGAATTCTTCTGCTTGCAGAATTCCTTAGCCTGGGCTGGCTGGCAGAGGGGCTACAGACTCAGCAGCATTCTTACTCTAACTATGCAAGGCACAGCCTTTTGTTTTAGGGTTAGTGACTTCTCTCAAATGTACTGATGTCACCATGTTTTTTTCCAAAGGAAAAATAATGTATATCATTAGGTTCCTGAAAATGTTGCAACAAATCCTTATAATCCTTCTCCTTTCTTAGAGACGGTGGTTTAACACCAAGCAGACATCCCGCCTTCACGCCATTTATATCCTTGTCCCCAGAGGCCTTGGCTTAACCCATCTTGTGAAACAGAGTACTGATTTGACTGCTTCTGAAATTACTTTCAAGAATAATCATTACAGCTTTACCCATAGGAAAGTTTGAGTTATGCATATTTAAATCAACCCAGGATTTGCAGCAATCACAGATTTAGTTCCACACATTAGGAAAAAAAAAAAAAAAACCCAAAAAATCCCAAGTTGTAAAGCTGGGCATAGTGGTGCACATTTGTAATCTCAGTTCTTGGGAGGCAAAGGTAAGAGGATCCTTGAGGGTTCAAGGCCAGTGTGGTCTACTTAGTGAGTTCTAGGCCAACCAGTGCAATATAGTGAGATCCTGTCTCAAAAACAAAACAAGTGCTGAGATGGTTCAGACGATAAGCACTTTGCATGCAAATGTGAGGACCTGAGTTTGAATCCCCAGAATGCATGTAGAGCTGGGAGGGGCCCACACACCCCAGTGCTCTTACTGTGGGATGGAACACAGAGACAGGAGATTCCCCAGGAGTTTGAGGGCCAGCTGGCTTAGTATACATGGCAGTGAACAACAAAACAGAGACCCTATCACAAACAAGGTGGAAGGCAAGGACTGACACCCAAGATTGTCCTTTGATCTTCACATATACGGCATGGCCCATGTACACACACACACACACACACACACACACACACACACACACACCAAAACCAAGCTGTTTTTAGAATAGTATTAGGAAAAGCTTAAAGAGCCAAGCAAGTGGCAGAAGAAGAGGCACTGGTTCATGCATCTGATCTAAGGACCAACATGATCTCCCCAGCCTGGGGACAGAAGACCAGGAAGGTCTGGGTAAGCACAGAGGCCAGGAAGGGAATCTCCCAGACTCTAATTTTGCAGGTGAAGTTTCTGTCTGGAAAGGAAGGCAGGCTTTCCCAGCATCCTACTCATCTTTTATGACCAGGTTCTGTTTTGAAACACATCTACAGAGCTTCCCAGTTAGTGATGGGGGTCACTAATCAGGGCAAAATACCAGTATTGACCTCATGAATCGTTTTTTTTTTTAATTTTTAAAATTTATTTATTTATTTTTATTTTATGTGTGTGAGTGTTTTGCCTGCATGTATGTAAGTGCCCCTGTGTCCTGCAGTGCCTGAGGAAGCAAGAAGAGATTGTCAGATGCCCTGGAACTAGACTTAGTTACCATGTGGATGCTGCGGACTGAACCCACGTCCTCTGCAAGAACAGCAGTACTTTTAAACACTGAGTCATCTCTCCAGCTCCTGATCTCATGAACTGTACAAATTGTTTTCCTTGCTTGCTTGGGAAGGAAATCTGACAGTTTGGGTTGGTACACAGTGCTTATTCTCCATATGTTTCATAGAGCTACCGATATTCTCCATAAAATCAAGTGCCCATGTTGGCTTACTCACGTTATCATTAGGGTAGAGCACTCGGGAGATATTCTCAGCTAAGTTTCGGTCCAGCACAGCCTGAATATAGTCTCCAACGTTAACTGAAAGGAATGTTAGAAAAACAATAAATAGCCAAACTAGCCACAAACCCCTTGATCTCATCTGATATCCTGCTTTGTGCAATTCCTGGGATTCCTCAAAATCCAAAAGGATTTCAATAAACTTTCACCACAGTCTGAAGGCCACACTGAAGGATGGCTTTTAAAATACCTCCCCAACTCACTACAAAAAAAAATCCTTATTTAGTCACCGAAGAGTAACAGTCAGAAACTTAAAGCTTTTTTCTTAAGTTCAATTTGGTTCTAACTAACGATCAAGAAGATGAAATGTGTGCAAAGACGGCAAAACCCATGCTGTACTCACAGTCTTGGAGGTTAAAGTCATTTGGTGCTCGAGCAGACCAGAGGCGCATGGTGTTCACCGTGTTGTTCAAATACCCAGGCACCGGGGTATCGTAAGGCAGAGCCAGGACCACCTATGGGATTAAGCACAGGCAGCTGCTCACTGTTTCTCAGTGTGATGATGGACAGTGAACAATGGTTGGGAGGCTGCAATGGATTTCTATTCCCTGCTGTATCATCAATTATAATTGTGTGAGGTGTAACTCAAGAAGAAGGTCTCAGGACCGGTTCAGGGTGGGTTTTGGGTGGGGATATATTAAAGATCATGTGATTCCTCCCCTGACTGAGACATCATAGTGGTCCTTTCTAGAATTTCTATGTTGAATTTCCATGTATCTCTTGTCCTGATGGAGAGGTATTAGAGAGGAAAAGTTGTGATATTAGCAGTAGAAAAAGTTGAACTTGCTGGATTGCATAAGATATACATCTTAGCTGTTGCTCTAATAATAATGAAATATGATGTGCAAGCAAAGTGACAAATATGAAGACGTACCCACCAAAGAGCAACAGGATAAGTGTAGGTTACTCAATGATCTGATTTAAAATATGAAAAACCAGAAGAAGAAGTTGATGGAGATGTATCACACATGCTGTTTGAACTGTTATGCTGGCTGGATTTTCAATGTGGTATAAGGAAGAGCTATTTTAGTGATTCCTGTAGTGATCTGCCAATCAGGTGATAATGAGCTGAGCTGAGTTTAAGATGCCAGCTTTGGAAAATCTAGCTTGATCTTTGTGACAGCCATTCAGAAAGAACATCGAGACAAATTACATCTCACAGCACATTTAAAATTTATAGGAAAATGATTCATTTCCATTCCTTGCCTTACCAGGGTCAAGTTCCAAGGAAGGAGAATGACAGAATGGTTGAATGGGAGGGTACCATGAATCACTTGGTCCAGCCCAGTCACTGTAATCTCAACATAGTAAGTCATTCTTATTTAAATATCTTTCACAAAGAAATAAAGGCCTTTGGAGATTTTTTTAAAAAGCAAATTGTGACCAGTCAGTAGAAGCCATTTGTAAATTAGGAGTGACTCTGGATTCAAAGAAAATCTGCCCTTCTGCCCTTCCAAGTGATATTGAGGCAGCCCAGAAAATGCCTGGCTTGGTTCTCTTATCAGAGACTTCAGAGAGAATCTGTCCCCTTAGAGCTCATCCCAAGACTCTATGTTATCTCTGAGATGCTCCAGCATATTTAGATCATGAGAGCTTTGCCAATAGGCACCCTTTAATCCCTTAGTTTAGCCACTTGCTTGGAGAAGTGCTGGAGTTTGAGGTTCTCTGAGAGTCCTTCCTCCGCTTTCCTTCACAGGCAGCACCCTGCACCGCAGCCTGAAGACTTCACACCTCCCCTGCTGCCTTCCTCCTTCATCTTTCCCAGGCGTTGACCTTACACATCACTAACACAGCTTATTCTCTCTGGTGTCTGCTCCCCTGAGGACTTGAATTACACAATAACGGAACAGACAACTCAGATGGTTGGAAGTTGCCCCATGCGTGCACAGAGCATGTCTGGCCTCATGCTTTCTGACCTCACTAGCTACAAATGTGGGGCTGATTAAGTGATGCCTTTCACCCATAAAGTCCCGTGGGGCTTCGGTTAGCTCATGTGTATTATCTCTGCCCCACAAATAACTTTGCTTCTGTGGATACAGAAACACGGGCTCGATAATGGAATTTCTGGCTACTGTGAAAATATGCAAAGGTGCTTTGTAAATACAGCAGCAGGACCCACAGCATAAATAGAATGCTTCCAGGATTGGTTTATAAACTGTGTAATTTGGGATAGACCAGAAGCCAGAGAATTTTCAGGCACCAAACTCTAGACCACTTATACTTATAGTTTAATACCCAACACATAAGCAGTTCCTTAGAGTGGATTAACTACCCATTTGTTTATAGCTCCCCTGACAGCATTTGAAACCAAATGCAATTTAGGTTGTGGTCAGATACTTAACCAACATAAAAAGTGAAACAAAACAAAACAAAATAAGAGAGTTCATCTTCAGGTAACAGTGCTAATTTACTCCCTAGACCATTGCACTTTTTGTTGGTTTCTCATCTGTCACTTCGTGTGCCAGAGAGGAAACAGATCAGCTATAGCATAGGACTTGCTGCTTTTAAGGTAAAATAAACCATTTGTTTATGGAAATTAATCTACAAATCAACCAATTTTAGCATTAACAAGATTGAATTTTACTTTCAACTTCCATGTATAAGGACATCATTTTAGTTGATCTACACTGTTTTCTGGAAGGTTCTCAAGAATGACTAAGAAAAGCTTCAGCCTGAGACCATCTTTATTAGACAAATATGTCAGGAGACACTGCACTGATTGGGCAAGGCAGCCTGGTGGCAACTAGGGTCATTCACCAGGAAGTATGAGGCCAGAGAGGCATAAACTCCATTGGTCCAGCCATTCAGTGACAGGACCATATACAAATTCAGTGACAAATGCATCTCACAACTCTCATCAACAAAGCTCCCTCATGCAACAGGGGGCCATGAACACAAAAAGGTCACAAATAAGAGTCTGCAGAGTATGGGTCCTTAGACAGGATTCCTATATTAAACTTCACCCACCCAGGGCTCAGGGACCTTTGCAGAAGAGGGGACAGAAAGATTGTAAGAGCCAGGGAGGTGGTGCATGACCATATGGAAATAGAATCCTACACACTCCTGGGGCCTTGTTCATATGACCCCACAGCAATGGTGTCAGCATGCAAAAGACCCACACAAACTCAAGTAGACAAAACCCAGCACAGAACTGTGGAAATGGGCAGCAGGCCCCAAACTTAGCTGAAGAACTATTGGCAGCTGATTACTGCTAGATGAGGAAAAGTTGATCTTCTTAAAGAGAGGGACTCTAGATAGGCTGACTAGACCTCAGCGGATGAACTTGCGCTAAGGGATGTTTAGGGACACTAAATTGACTCAGTAATTCTTAACACAAATGGCAGAATGCATGAATTCCAGTGGAAGGGGCTAAAGGAGGTGCCAATGGGGAAGGGGGTATAAAGATGGTTAAGATGTTCTGTATGAAAAACACAAAAATTCAATTAAAAATTTACCGAAAAAGAAAGGAAATTCTGACACACACGGATCTTGGCAATAGTGTTATATGAAGTGAGCCTGTCACAAGAAGTCACATACTATGTGATTCTACTTCTGTGGAGTACTTAAAGTCACTGAATTCATAGAAACTGAAAATAGAATAGTGGTTACCAGGAGTTGGAGGGAGAAATCAGGACTTGTTTAGGAAGCAAGGAGCTTCAGTTTTACAAGATTAAAAAAAAAATTGGAAGAGTATATGGGCTCCAGTGGGGCGGGGGGGCTATGGGAGTGTGCCATTTGGGAAGTGGGTATATAGATGAATAAGATTGTTTGGGATGTTCTGTATGAAATACACACAATAATATCAACAAATTAAAAAAGGGCATATTTGAGGAGGAAGCATAAAAATTTACTTCATGGTAATTAGTACAGGTGATAAACATTACCATTGACATCTACCTGATGACTTTATATCCATATTTAGGTGCTAAGGATCTGAGTGTAACTGACTGTGAGTAGTAATAATCAGATATATAGAGATTAAAAGAATGCTTTTGGCCTCAGGAACTTGGGTGTTGGATTGACCTGAGACCCTGGCCGTGGCCCGCCACGCAGGGATGCAAAGGCAGATGGGGCGGGAAGAAGCCCCAAGATTTCCCAGGGAGTGGATTGAGTAGCTGGGTTGTACTGGATGCCAAGGATCAGGGAGAGTAAAGGTAAGCCTCGGAGCCCCAGAAAGAGGCTTACAGCCACTTTTGAAAGAGACATATTCTTGCTCTGGAAATTGTTATTGAATATGTTAAAGCTGTAATGAAATGCTTCTTCTAATCAAGTGATTATTAAGTTAAAAAAATGGAGATGGGCAGAGGTGGTGGTTATACAATCATGTAAATACATCCAGTGCTACTGAACTGTACACTAAAAAATGATTGACAGTGGGACAGCAAGATAGCTCAGTGGGTAAAAGTGCCGGGAGATCTTCTTTAAAGGTTAAAAACTCATTCAATTTTATGTTTTATAAGGTTTGTCTGACCAAGACTGATGACCTGAATTCAATCCCCGGAATCCATAGCATGGAAGAAGAGAACCAATTCCTGAAAACTGTCCTCTCCCCACACATGCACAGTGGCAAGTGCAGGCCCACAGTTGTGTGTGCATGCATGTGTGTGTGTGTGTGTGCATATACAAACATATAATAAATAAATGTTTTTTTTAAATAGAAAAAAACAAAATTCAGTGACAGGATAAAGATCCATCACAGAGGAAATGCCCTTAACAACAGCAGCATCACTTCTCCAGAAGGGATTTGTCACAGTTTACTTACTTTGCATTTGTGTCAGTACCCTGACTGTCCAATGAGTAAGAACCTTGATAATCTTTAGAAAACTACAGTATTAAAATATTTAATCTTGGAGAAGTTGTAAGTAAATGTATAATGGTGGGGCAAGAAAAAGCATTTAGAATTATTCCACTTCGGCATCAACAACTTACATAAAGCCAGAGAGCTATGCTGCTGGGTTTTGCAAGTATACTGATTAACCTCTGATTAAGCTGATTGCAAAATGACCCTGGTCAGTCAGTTGACCTTGGGAAAGTCACTTTCCTCCTGGTGTCAATATCCTTGTGTCCTAAAGGAATGGACAGCACTGAGGCCTAAAGGAGTGGACAACGGTAAGAGGGATAATGGGCTTATTTATAAAAATTCCCTCTACTATTTGATGCACAGTATACCATTTTTGACATTGCACATACAACAGTACTGCACACCACATACGCACTATCCTAGCCACTGTGCTGTCCGGTGTAAAATGCTTGTCATAAGAACACCTGAATACCTGGGTGTCGATCCACTTTGTCCCGGTCTGGGTGTGCTCTACTCTTCCGTAGAAGTGCACAGGCAGCATGAATTCAGGACGCGCCTTCTCCCAAGGGTTTCCATGTCGGAGCCAGTCATCTGCTTCTTCTACCTAAAAAAGAACATGGCTTAGAATTTCATTGTTCAAGAGACATGATCCCGGCCTTTCAATCATATCACAATGGCTTAGATTTCATTGTTCGAAGACATGGTCCTGGCCCTTCAATCATATCACAATAAAAACACCTTTGGCAGAAACAACTCAGGAGTTCTGCTTTGGAAAGAAAGTGTGTCGGGCCTGTCAGTCTCCGTTCATTGTTGTTGCTGCCTACATCCTAAATCAACAAGAACAATGCTCAATAATATCGCCTTAAATGTTTTACATGTACTATTGTATTTAATTCTCACAGTGACCCTGGAGGAAGGAACTGTCATTTCTCTCTTTTCACAGTTGAGGAAATGTAACTGTTCAAGATCACATAAAAGGGCAATGACAGAGCTAAGAGTTGACTTCAGCTCTGCTGTGTATTCACATCTGTGAGGCCCTCTAGGGAGGCTCCCTGCTGAGTGTCTGGGCCAGATGGTCCAACATGATCTTTTCAGCCAGGATTCTGGTGCCTAGCCTGGACATAATCAGTTAGGAAATGTTGTTATAGAACACTGCCTTACCAAGGTTTGTCTCAGTATAGGTGCAGGGCACTATCACATTTCGTAATCATTGTTTACCTTAATCCTTCTGTAATTTTGACTTGATAATAAACTATATATTATGACTCATTTTGAAAATGCCTTATACTAAAAGGTAAGTAAAGAATTTATTTTATTGACACTTCAACATTTCCCCAAGTCTTAACCATGGAGCCATCTCTCTAGCCATGCATATATTTTCTTTCCTAACACTTTTTCTCCCCTGGATAGTTGCAGTTACACACTATCCATATAATTCTGGATCCTTTTGTCCCCAAATAACATAAACAATTTCCTATTTCAATAAAATTACTCAAGAATACAACAGCAATGGCTATTGTATTAAAATTTTATTATGAATCACTGCTTTTTATTAAGTTATTTCCCTTTTCCCAGGAAAAAAATGAAAAGTTTCCAGAGTGTCTATTTGTGTGCCTGTTCTATGTGTTCACATACTAATCCTGTGAAGTTGGCATCTCCATTTTGCAGGTGAGAAAACTGAGGCTCTGAGAAGTGAGGTAACCTGAGGTAACATGCCATCTATGGTATTGAGTGGATATTAAGTCTCAATTTAGAAATTAGAGTCTGAGCTTTTCTTCTATTCCATGCTGCCTCACAGTTTTTATTTACTTAGAGGTAGATAAGGATATATAACCCTTGTCCTTGGCAAAACCTTGAGTTTTGCTTACTGTCTTTGCTTACTGTCTTCCCAATATTCTCTTAAGCTTTTTTGTTCATTCTGGGCTCAGACAAAATATTTTAGTTCCTTCCTTCCCTGGTATACCGTGAGAAAGGACGGGGGTCGGGGGCTAAACTTGCTCTCATTAGGACTGCTCCTTCCTTCATGTCAGCCCCATCCAATCTCTGAGCACACTGTTGTTGGACCCCCAAGTTTACACATGCTTACAGAGCTCAGTTTTTAAAAATTCAATCCATGTATTTTGTCAATGGTGAGATGCAGAGAAAGAGAGGGCATAGTCCATACTTAGGATCAGGGGAAATTCCACAGTGTCTCAACTCAACTCTGGTAACTCAAAGAGCTACTAGAGATGAAAGAAACAAATGCCTGAGAACTGAAAAAAAGTAAAACCACAGCTATCTGGATGGACTTGTGAAGACTTCTGTGGAACACAATGGTAAATACATGTTAGGTTCATCTGCTATAACAAGATTACCTGATTTATCATATGAAATTAGTTCATTTAGCTCATAACATAGGCATATTAAGGACAGTAAGACCCACAGATAGACAAGAATACTGAATGTGGATCTGGAGATCTGTGGATACTGATTCCTATTGACCAGCAGCATGGGCTAGGGCAAGTCTGCTTTTTAAGAAACTCGGTTTTCTATCTTGTAAGCTGGCAAATTGTCATGGAGGGCTGTTGGGAAAGATCATAGCTCCAACCTGTGCTCCTTGTTTTGTGATTTTGCAAGCTATAAGATGGAATGGCATGCATGGTAGGTGGTTCACAGTCAGGGGTCAGTAATAAATATCTTTAGGATCCCCTCATGATCCCCTTGTGATGCTGCAGTGTCAATGCAGTAAAACCCAAGATGACCCTCCTCTGAAGAAACCTGGAAGTCATTCCAATTTGATGAGCACTCACTGTGGGCAGACCCTCAGGGAGTAATTTGCTGAAGATTATTTTTAATCATCACATGACTAGTGTGAACTGTTACTACTATCATTTTACAGACAGTTGAGAGTCAAAGAAGTGTAAGAAACTGGCCACGAGCCAGCTAGTGAGAGCCAGGCACTGAGGCAGATGCTATGGATCTGAAGGTGAACAAAATTGACAGGCTCTCAGCTCCGGGAACTTATCCTTCATAGTGGGGAGCTGACATTGTCCACTGTTGTCAGCCAAAATGCCAGAGAAATCAGCAAAATCCTGTGTGAAAGGTTCACGCACTATACACAGGCACAGCACAAAGAAAGCGCTCGGGAAGAACTCCAGTGACAACATTTTAAATGCTGGTTCTCTTACCTGCCATCCATCTCGGATCTTCTGATTGAAGATTCCATATTCATATCGGATGCCATATCCATAGGCTGCCAGTCCCAGGGTTGCCATGGAGTCCAAGAAGCAGGCTGAGTTAGGGTACAACAAAAAGCAGAATCAGTAAGCTTAGCATCAATGACAAGTCTTTCTTTTAAAAATGTGGACACCAAAAAAAACCATTTTTCCATCAGGAACCATTTGTACTTCAACTCACAGAGATGGCTGCATAATGGGTACTATGTGTTTAAATAACTTTTTCTAAATTATAGAATGAGAATAGAGAAGTTAGAAATTGTATAGGTATCTAAAGAAAATAATTATCACTTATTTTGCCATCTTGAATAACCATTGTGCATACTGTCTTTGTTTGGGAACACATAAGGAAGCTACCTACATTGGCTAGCTTGACTGTTGCTATCCACAGCCCCCTTTCTACGGGATGCTGTTTCTATGGCCCCAGCTCAACAGTGGGCCCCAAGAAATGGAAGCTTACCTAAGACCTGTGTTGTCATAGCACCTGACTGATGGATGGAATTCCACTGCTGCTGGGACATGGATGAATGTATGCTCCAGGAAGTGGGCTATATGGACCAGGAAATGGATCTCTCTTGCCTGGTCTAAACCTCTTAACCAATCATACTAATTCTCTTTCCTCCACCAGTGGCTGCTATGAGTCTAGACATGAATGGCATTCAGTCCCCCTGGAGGGACCAGGAATTCTGCTGAGAGGAGACTTCTGTGAAAGATTTGCCTTGCTGTCATATCTTTCACACTGTCTGTCTGTCTGTCTGCCTGTCTGTCTGTCTGTTTGTCTGTCTGTATGGGAGGGGTGGGGACTCACAAAAACCTAGAGTATTTATGCAGTAGAGCTACTGAATAAATCAGTCTTGAAATAGCCCATCACCTGGAGCTTCTGTTCTGTGACTGCCATGTCCTTCTTGGGCAAATCATTTTTGGTTAGATTTTCTGTTTCTCAAAGATACAGCATCTGATCCAGAAGAGCCAATCAGTAGGCAGAGATGGGGTCTACCTAGTGGCTGGATGCAAACTAAGGGGTCATGCTAATCTGACTGTCCCTCTCAGAAATTTGCATTGCTAGGTAATGAGGAGATGTAGTAAACTCCATTTAATGAGGCATTAAAACTCCAAAGAACATGGGAAGCTGTAAATCAAACAGGAGGGACTGAGTTGGATTCATACAGCAACTCAGAAACAGATCCAAAAACACTGAGAGCTCAGGCCCAAAGTAACTCTAACATGGCCAGCCCCCATGCCCACATGGCCTAGCTCTGTCTGGCCTGGGACTCTTTTGGCTTTCCTTAGAACCTTAGTTCATCCTTAGAGCCTGATATGAATGGAATTCTGGCCTTCCCATCTAGATGGTAGATCTGAAAACTAGTTATCTGAAAACTAGTTAACCTCGCTTGCTGCTCCAGTCTCTGACCTTACCAAATAGCAAGGAGCAAGGCCACCAGTGCCAGGTCCAGATGGGGTGAATACAGCCAGTCAACACTGAAGGCTTTGGTTTCACATAAAAGCAAGGCAGACTAGTTCTTGAGCTTAGATGTGATTTCCACTGGCTCTGCTGGCCTCCCTATATCCCAGGGAATTCTGGGAAATTCTCAAATGAGTAACAACAGGATGGGGAGGTGGCAAGTGGCCCACAGGTGTGCTGTTCTGCCCTATATCTCTAGTGGCTGCGCTAAAGCACACTGCCACTATGGTAGAAAGATTTGATAATAAAAATCAGATTCAAATGACTTTCTAGTAACTTAGTGGGTACAAAATTAAAAGGCTTGAAAAGAATTAAACGATAGCATCTGCTTTGATTGCTTTCCCTAACTCTGAAAACTCTTTAGAGGAGTCACTGAGCATTTAGTACTTAAACTCAATTTAGGATTTAAATTCCAGACTTTCCTTCTTGTGTCTAGAATATACATAACTAAAAGAGAATACTTCCTTTTAAAAAAATTATGTATTATTTTTATTTTATGTGTACACGTGTATTGCCTGCATGTAGATAAGTGCCCCCATGTTGTGCGATGCCCGCAGAGGTCAGAAGAGGCTGTTGGATCCCCTGGGACTGGAGTTACGTACAGTTGTTAGCTGCCATGTGGGTGCTGGTATTTGAACCTCGGTCTTCTGCAAGAACAACCAGTGTTCTTAACCTCTGAGCCATCTCTCCAGCCCCAAATATTTCCTTTTTAAAAAGTATAAATGATATTACATTGTATGAGTTTCAATGCAACTTGATTTTTTTATAACTTGGTGATTTATCCAGGGAAGTCATACATCTACATCAACTTATTCTTTGAGAACTGTACTGTTTTTAACCTCACAGTTTTATGAACAACACTGGACTAGTAATGTTTCCACCTTCCTTCTTCTGCACGTCTTTCAGTCTTTCCTTTGGAGAAGGTATTGAGAATCAGAATTGCTTGGTTATAGGATGTGATGGCTAACCTTAAATGTCAACTTGACAGGATCTAGAATCATCCAGGAGACAAATCTCTGGACACACCTGTGAGGGGTTATCTAGATTAGGTTAATTGACATGGGAAGACACATCTTGAATTCAGGCAGCATATCCCTGGGCTGGGGTCCTGCACTGCATAAAAAGGAGAAAACCAGCTGATAGTAAGCTTCCATCTCTCTTTGCTTCCTGACTGCAGATACAATGTGGCCAGCTGCTTCAAGCTCCTGTTACCATGTCTATACTACCATGATTGGGCTGTGAGCAAAAAAATCCTTCCTCTCATAAGTTGCTTTTGTCAGATACTTGGTCAAAGCGAATGGAGCTGGTATTACATTCTTAATATTTTTCTCTCTATTTGCCGAAAAGTCATCCCCCCCCCGCCGAGAAAGCAAAGAACTTAGTTTGCATCCACAAAAAAGTGCATGAATGCTATCACTGCCCACCAGTTAATCAAAACAAACTGAACCATGCAAGATAAGACTTAGAATTTAGGCCATACCATACATGCACTGGGACTGACCAGCTGTGAGCAAAGAGAAGTGAAGTAAAGCATCAACTTTGGAAACGCTTACATGAACAGGAAGGATCTGGTTAGCGTTAGGGTTTTAAGCAATGTCTGAAAATGTTTTAAGTAGTGTCTCTTTCTTCAAGTTCCCTTCTCTGTTTGTGTGGAATTGATCAGCCCACAGTGAAAAGAACAAATACATCTACAATAGACTATGCTTTCCCTGTCTTTTAAGCTTGTTGGCTCTCTTAAGCACAGTCATATATGGTATCTGAGAAGGCATTGGTCGATCACCCTGACAATATAACCCATTGCCACTTACCAGCAAGCCTCCCAAGACCACCATTGCCAAGCCCAGCATCTTCTTCAATTTCTTCTAACTCCTCCATGTCCAGTCCAAGCTGAGGATGAACGGAAAACAGCGCTGGATGTGGGTATAAACTCAAGCCACTCCAGAGAAAATGGCCACTGCCTAAAGCAGTAGCCAGGCACTAGGGTTATCTGCATACTCAATCTGCTGTCCACTTGCTCACAGCTTGTTCTGGCTCTGTGTGTCCACTGCAATGTGGGAAGATGGAAGTACCTACTTCATTTAGGGTTGTAAATCAAATGAGATTATACAAAGAAAGCAATAGAACTAGTCTTCAATCCCTTGGACCTGCATGGTAGAAAGAATTAATTCTCATAGGATGTTATCTGACCTCCACATGTATGCTGTAGCACACATTCATGAACACACATGTACACACATAAATAAATAAATGTAATTTTGAAAACACAAAATAAACAAGCGAAAATTTTTAGGACAACCTGAAGTTCATCTTTGCATGATCAAAGCCTGATGACTCAATAGAATTAAAAGCTGCTCACCCCAAACCAGGTAGTGAGCTATAGCTCATGAGCCCTGAGGCTGGCCAGCCAGCAAGAGGACTCAGCTCTAGTCAATTAATGGACCAGAATCCTCTACTTTTCTTGGGGGTTGGTGGAATGCTGTAGGAAGCCAGAGTGACTCTTTGAACTTGGGCATGGTTGCCAGCTACCTGCCCCCAAATGCTGGGGATCATACTCCTAAGTTCACTAGCCCCAGGACCCCATCAGAGTTCTACAGCCCAGAATTCACTGGGGATTGCTTATCTTACAAGGAAATTGATGTTCTGATATATCTCTGTGGACTAGATGACAATTTCATCCATGCCTGATTCTAAGGTAGTCTGCTGGGAAGTGACTATATTCTTAAAAAAAAAATATCTATTATTTTTATTTTATGTGTATGAGTGTATTGCCTGCATGTGTGTAAGTGCACCCATGTCGTGCAATTCCCATGGAGGTCAGAAGCAGGTGTCGGATTCTCTGCAACTGGAGTTACAGATGGTTGTTAGCCACGAAGTGGGTGCTGGGAATCGAACCCAGGTCCTCTGCAAGAACAGTCAGTGCTCTTAACTGCTGAGCCATCTCTCCAGCCCCAGAAGTGACTATATTCTTACCTGAAAGTCACACAACACCCAAAATAGGATAGTTAATTTTATATGTGTAGCAAGGCGTGTGTGTGTGTGTGTGTGTGTGTGTGTGTGTAAGCCAGAAAACAACTTGTAAGAGTCAGTTCTCTTCTTCCACTATGTAGGTCCTGAGGATTGAATTTAGGTCATTTGGCTTGGTAGCAGGCGCCTTTAGCTACTGAGCCATTTCATTGTCCCTTAGATAGTTTTTAGTTGGAAATTTAGATATTGAAAACACATGCACAAGAAGGAACTGTCTAAAGTCAATGCCCAAATCTTCTCTGAGCTACCTTTCTGGATCCCTACTTTTCTCACATAAACAATGATAATCTCATAGGCACTCAAACATGGTTCTGCATTATTTCACTGAGGCTTTTGAATTTGCCCTTGGTGATTAGGGATTACTGGGGTTCTGTATACAGTCAATAGTCAGTGCTAACTAACACTCAGGAGTTTTAAAGTTCTAAAAATGGAAATCAAAAGGAGGATCTAAATCTTGAGCAGGTAGATGTAAACGAAGGTCTTTTCATCCCACCTGCTCACGGTCTACTCCAGGGAAGGTGTGCAATTCTTTGCTATTTTAGGGGAAGTAAAGAAAAGGAAGTGGAGGAGGGCTGCAGTGGTTCTTTGGCAGGAAATGCTCTACCTAACCCACATGAATGACACCAGCCCTGAGCAGCGGGCCACCCAGGGGACCATCTCAAGCCATTTGCCCTGGGAAAGAGCAGGCCGACCTACCCACATTTAGATTTGGTTTTGTAAATATACGTTTTTCCTTTTAGCCACATCAAAAAGGTAAAGACTGTTTGTTTTCAGTGGAGAGACATGGGCAGAAAGAGTTGAATATATTTACATAATGAGCACATTAGAGTTGTTTGAAGGAGGAAGTGCACTGCGTTTTACATTTCATTAGGCAAGAGGAAACATGACAACCAAATTTTAAAGCTTATCATTTTCACATTGTCTGAAAAATGAATAACTGTCAAACTTTGGTCATTTATTGTAATGCTCATAACAAAGACTTCTAAAAAGCTTGTTGAAATGGTCATTTTTAATATGTAATTTGTTTGGGAAAAACTGTCCAGGATTTTGATTGCAAAAGAGAATTTTCATGTGTAATAACTAGTTCTTCAACTTCTTTTCCTGGTTGTTTCTCTTACACCAGAAAGCATATGCATTTGTTGTGTATAAATGTATGTCTATATGTCTGTGTGTACATGTGTATGTGTATATGTCTGTGTGTATGCCTGCCAGTTTGTCTGTTTATGTGTGTGTATGTTTGTGTACATGTCTTTGTCTGTGTATGTGTGTATGTCTATGTAAGTCTATGTGTATGTATATGTGTATATCTGTGCTCGTGTGTCTGTTTATGCATGTCTGTGTGTGTCTCTGTGTATATATGTATGTATGAATGTCTGTGTGTAGGTCTGTGATCTGTGTGTGTATCTGTGTGCGTGAATGTCTGTCTCTGTGTGTATGTATGTATGTGTGCACGGGTGCTATGTCCTCAGGTTTCTTGAGGGGAAATTTCAAGAGAGAAGATGCGAGGAATACCACAACCACATACCTGGTAAATGGCCTCATCACAGGCGTTTTGTAAGCCAAGGTTGATCATGGTGTTCTGTAATGTTCGGCCCATGTAAAATTCTAGAGAGAGGTAATAAACCCTCTGAAATAAAGAGCGGAAAGGCCATCATTCTTCTGTGAGGTCAACACACGTTAAAAACACAAAACTATATGTAAGGTTGCCAATAATCCCAGCAGGGCCAGGGCTACTTTAACACACATTCAGGTGAGACTCCTATAGTTGCCTGATAGGATGCATGACAGTGTTCATGACTATGATTTAGGGAAACCGTGTTATACACTATTTTTAGCAAAGTAGTTTGGTATCTCTTATTCTCAGGAAGAAAGAAAAGCAAACCCATCTAACTAATCAGGTTCCATGATTTGTGTTTTTTCTGTTCACGAGCTTCATGTTTTAGACAAACAAGTCAGACTACCACAGTACGCCTCCCATTTGGAGGGTGAGGGATAGGCACCGGGTTGATTCCGACTAAGGCTTTCAAGAAACACATGGACTAAGCTGAGTGTGGTGGTGCACACCTTTAGTCCCAGTACTCGGGAGGCAGAGGCAGGAGGATCTCTGTGAGTTCGAGGTCAGCCTGGTCTACATAGTGAGCTCCAGGCCAGCTGGAGATTCTGACTCATCTGTCTCAAAAAGACCAAAAAAAAAAGAAAGAAAGAAAGAAAAAAAGAAACACATGGACTAACTCCTACATGCTCTGTGAAGTAGATATTGATTGCTGAAGGAATTTTCCAAGTAACTTTAGAGCTAAAGTTAGAGCTAACAGCTAAAGTCAGTTCCTTCTGAGTAAGATTTCCCAAGGTTCATTAGTATTTGTTTTTGATGAAATGGGAAGTTTCTCATGGACTTAGAAACTGTTTGCCTTTGATATGGTTAACACCAGGCAAATATGAGCTGAGTCAAAAGTGAGAAGTGCAAAGTTCAGACTTAACTAAAACCATTTTATATGCAAACATGGTTTGCAAACTTAAAAATGACAGATTGTGAATGACTGCAGCACCCCCTTTCATGACAAGACAAGAAGAACCAAAAATAAAACTGTTTGGCCAACGCAAAAGTAATTTAAAAAATATACTACCTGTATATTTATTTAAAAGAAGATATTATTTGAAAATGGTAGCTTAGAAAATTCACTCTTTTCACTTTCATTTTATGAAACATTAAATTCTAAATCTTCAGACGCACACGCAATATTGGGCCTGGTAGGGCAGCTAATGCAGCCATTCAGAATGCATCATTTTTGTCCAGCTTTTTTGAATGTTTAGAGGGGTGTTTCTGGGCCCTTCACAGCCTATGAGAAGTCTTTGCATGCTAGGGGAAAGGCACTCTTCTAGGGCACATTTAGGCCGCAAAGGGGCAGGGCCCCAATTCCCACCCACAGCTGGATCTTTTGTATATAAGGTCTCTGCAGCCAAAGGAACTAGCTAGCTCAATCCACAAGTAAGATTAGCATGGCTCTTTCCGTTCTCCCATCTTTCATTCTCTTTCTGAGAGAACCATGTTTTGCCTATTTTCCTTTAGAAGCTATACAAAGCTCATTTATTAAAAACATCGGTATCTCAAACTGTCAATTCTGAAGTTATACCCCTGGAATTATGGTTCTTTACCTTCTTTTAAATTCCAAATTAGCATCAACTTAGGATCTATTAGCATGCATATAAAATCTTTCTAGTTCTTCTAAGGAGGGTTATTCAAAGTAAAAGACAGAGTATCTTATTACAGGACAGACTATAAGGGTAGGAATTTTAGGCAACTTCCTATTTTTCTTAGGAAATAACTTCTTTGGGGAAATTTATATTTTAGGATATAAAAACCTTAAAAAACAGATCTTTGCTCTTTTAATATTCTACAGACATTTACTACACATGTAAAATAAGAAAATATTTGAATATCTTCATCTACCTTGTAAATTATATACATAAGCGTTCCTACTATTTTATTTATATTATATAAAAGTAGAGAGTTACAAAAGGCTGGAAGAGACAGAATAAAGATGACAGAACAATACCAACACTTTAAGAATATTTTAACGTTCTTCCCAGCATTAACCAGAGACTTGGATTTTTCTGGAAGATGTCTGAACATGTAATAACAAACCTGAGCCTTGCAGGGCAGGCAAGAGTGGTACACAGAGACCTGTGGTAGGAGGGGTATTTCAGTGGAGGGTGGCCTGTGAGCAGAGGCTCAGAAGTGGGAATTGGTTTCGAAGGAAAGGATGGGAGGCATGGGCGGGTAAGATGGAAGGACAGGTTCTTCTGGAAGGAGATAGGTTTAATGCAATGAGGACCAACAGCCGGCTCTGTTAGGCCAGTGCTAACAGAGTCAAGATGTGTTGCTTTCGGAGGCTCAGGTGGACAGATGCATAGACTACAATGGGATTGCAGACGCAGTGCCTTCAGGAACTGACAGAAAATAAATGTGTAATGGGAGTCACCTGCAGCAGTGAAGGGAACTGGGCTGTGTGCTGGAGCGTGCGGGAGTGCTGTCCAAAGGCATGGAATTAAACTATCAAAGGTGACTTGCTGGCCAAGCAGAGTCAGCTTCACTCTGCCAGCTTAGGGCTTCTGAGACATGAGGTCTCCTCTGAGAAGTCCACTGCAACAGATCTGTAGGGCTGCTCAACTAGGCAGAGAGTGAGAAAGGAAGATGGTGCAGTTTCCAGGGAACCTGCAGAAATGTGAATGGAGAATAGCAGAGAAAGTGAAGGTGAAGCCAAAGTTCTGTGCTGCCATGGCGACAGTCCCATTCAAGTTAGAAACACAGAGGGCAGGACAGGACTGGGAGGGATATCTGAGTTTCTGATGAGCTGAGTTTGAGGGACTGGAAGAGTCTTTGGAATGCTCAGGCTTGTTTGGAAATGCAGGATGGGGCTGGAAAGGGAACTCAGATGTGGGGCTCAAGTGCACAGCTTAGTGGAGGTGTGCTGGACAAAGAGCTTGGGCATACCTCCTGGCTCTACTAAAGTGCTCTATAAGGACAGGGGCCCTCTAAGGGAACTCAGATGTGGGGCTCAAGTGCACAGCTTAGTGGAGGTGTGCTGGGAAAAGAGCTTGGGCATACCTCCTGGCTCTACTAAAGTGCTCTATGAGGACAGGGGCCCTCCTGCTTCCACAGGGCCTGTCACCGAGGAGACGCTATTAACCTGTGTGAGGTGAAGTTTTATGATTTGTCAGGCTCTTCTAAGAGTTATGCAACTTGCTGACAGCTGCCCACAGTATAACCCTGTCAGAATGCCTGGCTTACTCTTGCACTTGGATAGAGTCACAGGGGAAACTAGGCAGAGAACTAGGAAGATATACCAAAGACTGGGCACTGATGCCAAATGCTACAGATGTATGTGTATTTGTGAGCTAATAAAGATAGGGCAGATGAGTGTAGACTGTGTTTTCTAAGGAAGCACTTAGATTTCTAGGGAAACACTTCAGCAGTTGTTACATTTGGTAGCAGTTGGCTAGGCCTCTGGGGAAAGAGCAACTTTCCCTTTGAAAGCATTGTTACAGTGACAACTTCTTACTAGGACAGTCTATGTCTCAGTTTTAGAAATTTCTGTAGTTCTTGGATGATGATTTTTCTAAATGTTTTCACATATTTTGTAACATCTAATAAATATGAATATACATTTCCCATCGCCTCCAGGATCTATTTTCATCTTTTCTAGCATAACCAACCACAGTCAGCTATTCCAGTTTCCCTCCCGGTACAGACTCACAGGGCTCCTGTGGGCTTACTCTCACTGTGTGCGGAGTCCCTCTCTCTGCGTGCCCTTCCCAGTCCTTCCCACCAGGTCTTGTCCCAGGTTGATCATGAAGAGACCTTGTTCCTCTACAGGTTCAAACCACTCTCAGGGCACCCCGCCCCAGAGCAGAGAATGGACTGCTTCTCTCTCTCTCTCTCTCTCTCTCTCTCTGAACAGCGTCCCACACTGGGGTAGGAGCCTGGGAGGGAGTGGGGGGAGGTTCGTGGGAGATATCTGCAAAGGATGAATCTGGGGCTCTGACCCTCAGAAATCAAGAAAGCTCAGATCCTGCAGTCTCTGCTAAGGCGGGGCTTTTGTCTGTTTTATTCAGGGCTGACTGCGAGGGGCCTAGAACAGTGCCTGGTATATCTCACAAGAGGCACTGGGTCCTCTGCGGTTAAATGCTGAGTGGACACTCCATAAGTTTGCAAAGTACACAGGCGATGGAGGCCTGGACTTTTGCCACCACCGGGACTGCGGATCGCACAGCTCAGGGGTTCGGGCGTGACACCGGACTCAGCGCTGCGGGGCACGCGCCGGGAGGTCGGAGGGGTGGCTGAGCCCGTCCCTAGGCTGCCCAACCAGACTCGGAAGAGACGCGCGGGGCTTGCCCTGCGTCTGGTACCTTGGGGCACTTGTCGTAGTAATGCTGCTGCGTGCGAATCCAGCGCCCCACCAGGTGGTCGCGCACTGTGTGCGCCAGCGCGAAGAAATAGTCGCGAGGGGTAGCCACGTTGCGGTCCTTGACCAGCGTGAAGTGCAGGTGCCGGTTGAAGCCCTTCTTCAGCTCGGCCACGTTCTCTACGCCCACGATGCCGCGGATGCTGATCTGCCGTCGTTTCTCCTGGTCGGTCAAGGGCTTAGCCATGGCTGCGCGCAGGACGACCGCCACCGGTGAGGAGCTGCAGGAGCCGGCGCACCCCGCTGCAGGCGCGCTGCTTTTGAGGCGCTGGGGAGTTCGGGGTCCGCCCCTCGGTGCAACACCGCCGCAGCCAGTCAGTGGCAGGTCCCCACCCATCCCGGGTCCATCCCCTGCCTGTCCCCGATCCGTCCCCGGCCGGTCCACGGCCAGTCCCTAGTCCATCCCCCGCGCCCAGCCCTCCCAGTAATCAGGGCGGCGCTGCAGCTGTGTGTGGAGTCCAGACACAACGTCCTGGCCTCCCCGGGAACCCTCGACCCGTCACGTAGCTCGTGGAGGGCTCCTTCCGGATCTGCAGGCCCGCCTGCTTGCTGAAGATCCGTGTGCAGGAGCACGGTGCTGGCAACTGCCATCTTACAGACGTGCATCTGCAATGACATTGCCATTTCTCAGCTGGAGCCCGCTCCACCATGCCCGCGGGGAGGGTGCCCTAGGGTCAGTGTGATTTAAGCCAGGTTGCCTGGCTTGCTTCCCGGTTCATCTTGGATCCTTAGGAAGCGTTTGCTGTTTTTAGTTATTTGTTTTGAGGATTCAGGACTGGGGTTTCTTGAATGCCAGACCCTGGCTGGACCAGCTCACCGCAGCTTGCCACGATCTGTAGGGCTAGGTTAGTAAGAGGTAAAGGGATCTGTGAGTCGATGCTTCAGATTCATTGCGTGACAGGATTTTGACTTGAACCCCTTGTTTACATATGCTTTAACCAAGTAGAGAATATGCGTGACAGGATTTTGACTTGAACCCCTTGTTTACATATGCTTTAATGTGTGTGTGTGTGTGTGTGTGTGTGTGTGTGTAGGTCAGGGGACAACTTTGAGGAGTTGGTTCTCTCTTCTACCATGTGGGTTCCTGGGATGGAACTTAAGTGGTCAGGCTTGGCAGCAAGTGCCCTTACCTGCTGAAGCCATCTGGAGGGTCTATGTCAGAGGTTTAAAAACAAAGCTGATTATTTTGAATTGATGCATGGGTGGGAGTGAAACTATTTGTTTCTTTTCGGGGGAGAGTGGGATTAATTGATTTAAAAAAATGTAGCCTTTGCTTAAAATGGAAAGTTCTGCTCTCACAGGTCTGGCTGCTTTTCTAGCCCATGTTCCCTCTCAGCTTCTGGGGTTTAGGCTCTAGACTTCTAGGCAGAGCTGACACTGAAGTGGCCTTGTGCAGGGCCTGAAGCACTGATGACCCACAGGGGAAAGGGTTGACAGGAGAGATGAGGGTATGGTTTGGATTTGGATGAGGCCAGAGATACCCTGAACTGAGAATGATCGTGGAACTCTGTCAGAATGGTTGACCTTAAAATCGGAGCCACATGGTGAAGTCTGAGCTGAGCCTGAAGGAGGGTCTTTTGACAAATTACAAAATGCAACCAAAAAAACCAGGTTAATCATCTTTGAATACTGTGATGGTTAATCTTCATGGTGAAAGTGAGTGGATTTGGAATAACATAGGAGACACACCTCGGTGTGTCTGTGATGATGTTTTCAGAGGTGGTTAACTGAGGAGGGAAGACTCACCTTGAAGCAGGTGGCACCATACCACGGGCAAGGGGTCCAGAATGAATAAAAGGGGACAAAGGAGAAAGCGCACCAGGTTCATCTCTCTCTGCTTCCTGACTATGGGTGCCATGTGGGAGCCAGCTACCTTATGTTTCCACCAGCTGATGTCCCTGTCATCATGGACTATCCAAACTGTGAGCCAGAATAAACCCTTCTTTCTTCTGTCAGGTATTTTGTCACAGTAATGAGAAAAGTAGTGAATTCAAATACTCATGGGATAGTCATAGGCTTACACCAGTTTGTAGTCACACACTGAGAAATAATCCAGTTATTCCTAACAGCTAGCAGAGGATGAGGGAAGGCCATTTATGAGCAGATCTACTCCCAAGTTGGTCTCAAAGTAGTGGAAGGCAAGAGGAAGTCTGAGCATGTGGGGGCGGGGGGTTGGGGGGGGGAGTGTGAGGAAGCTGGGGAACAAAGGAAGAAATGGAAACTTCCAAAGGCAAAGGTACTGTTTCCTAATTTTCTTAAGACCACTTCATGCAGATGGGTCCTAGGTCCCCTACCTAAGAGGACTGGATTCTTGCAGGAAGCCAGGATGAAAATGGATATACTATATTTTTGATTTTCCATCTAGCCAGTGAGCCCACATTCCGGTTGAACATCTCTGTATGAAAAAAATTGTAGACCTCAAAATGTTCCAACAGTGGAGTGTGAGATGGGACCAAGCAACCAACCATGACAAAGAGGACATCAAAGACTGGGGAGATGACTCATTGAGTAAAGTGCTTGCCACACATAAGAACTGGTGTTAGATCCCCAGAATCAACTTAGGAAAGCTGGGCAGTGTGGAGTGTACTTATGATCCCAGTGCTGGGAAGGCAGAGACAGGGGGTTCCTGGGATGTAATGGCTAGCTAGCCTAGCCTACTTTGTGAGTTCTAGACTACTGAGAGACCCTGTCTGAAAAATGGTAGACAGTGCTGAAAGAATGGCCTCTATACACAGACACAGACATACACACAGACACACACAGACATATATACAAACACACACAGACAAGCAGACATACAGAAACACACAGACACACATATACACAGACATACATACACAGACACACACAGATACAGACACACACAGACACATATAAACACACATTAGAGACACAGACATGTACACAGACACACACAAACAAACATAAACACACACACACATACACATGCAAGAGGACATGGCTGTAGCAGATGACAGTGCTCTGCACACTGAGCCTTACAGACAGTAAGCACCATCATTGGGCAGTTAGTATTTTCTAACTTCTCTGTTACACTTTCAGGAGGGCTTCAGTGTTAGTTTGTCTTTAGCACTGGTTAATCTATATTTTCATCAGAAAATAGACTCAGACTCTAGCCTTCTTTAGGTTTTTAACACCTAACTAGCAATTAATGACATTGTTTTCCATTTTGGAAAAGGGTGATTTCCCAGTTTACGTTCTGTTGTAAACTTTGTTTTGTAAATTTACTTCCAGATAAACCATCCAGGTCGGCACGCAAGCACAGAAGGAAGAAAGAAAGGAAGTAAGCAAGGAAGGAAAACAGAAAAAAAGAGTGGTGTTCGCCTAAGTGAAGTCTGAGACTCAAGGTTTTAAATCTACCATCTGTTCCTTCTGCCCTAGGCTAGGACCCCAAGAT